ACCAGATAATGTTATATACGTAGGTTTGTAGAGGAAGACTTCCTCTATCCAATAGTATATATATTGTCAAATTCTGCTGTGTACTGTGAGAGAAAATTAAATTTAAAAGTGAGAGATTTAATGCGAGTTTTCTATATAAAAATTAAAACCAAGCAGTCAAGCTAAAAATCTCTACGCAACAGGATTTGATAATATTCGATCGAGGAAGTCTTCCTTTATGAACTTACATTTATTCGCTTATCTGATTAAAAGGTTATAATCGCCTTTATTTTACGACAAAGATATGTAATATCAATCAAGAATATAATCAAAATTATTTTCAACAACATTCGCTCATCTTACTGGTAATTGTTCAAACTCATGTTTTTATCGAGAATTTCAAGTATATTACAACCAAAATAATTAATGAGTTTTAATATGACTTGTTGTAACTAATCGAGTGACGTTGCCATTCTTAATTGTATTTTCCCAATTCCTGGCAACAAGTAATGAGTTAAATATTGGATACGAGGTCTATTCCGATGCGTGGTGTCATAGTCCCGTTACACCCGGTATCCTCATTTGCTTTTAATGTAGTCTCCGGGTATTGACATTTAAACAATAGCTATATATTCTAAAGTTGAGGAGTTTGTGTGAATTTGGGGTATTACCCGAATGGTAATGATCTCTAAACTATAACTATACGTTCTAAAGTTGAGGAATTTGAGTGAATTTGAGGTATTACCCCAAGGATAATGATCTCTAAACTATAGCTATAAATTCCTCAACTTTATGACATATAGTTGCAGTTTAGAGGTCATTACCCTTAGGGTAATACTCCAAATTCACTCAAATTCCTCAACTTTAGAATGTATAGTTATAGTTTAGAGATCATTACCCTTGGGGTAATACCCAAAATTCACTCAAATTTCTCAAGTTTGAAATATATAGTTGAGTTATGGGGTCAGAAACTTATTATCCTTGAGGTCTGTATATTTAAAAGCTGAGGAATTTGAGTGAATTTTGGTGTATTATCCCAAGTGTAATGGCCTCTAAAATGTAAGTATATATTATAAAGTTGAGGAATTTGAGTGGATTTAGGATAACGAGGTCGTTACCCTAAATTCACTCAAATTCCTCAATTTTAAAAGCATGTAATTCATTTATGGAGTAAGGAAGTCATTGCCCCTAGGCGTAAGTTTCATCGTGTAATTGAATTCACTTTTTGTTGATTACTCTGTAGGGTATCCTGACATTTACTTCTGGATACCCAGTGTAATGGTATTATGGCATCTATGTAAACAACGGTATTAGGCAACCTGTTTTATTATAATGAACTTGATTTCAATAAGGAAGACACTATTTCTAACTTATGTTTACTCCATTGTTATGCTGACTAATAGGGATATTTTCTATATATTTGGAAAGTGATAATGTTTGTTGTATAAGTGCTTCACCATAGCAATATAGCCATATTAATAAGGGCTTATTTTCTAATTAATTTAAGTATTTTACTTCGAAAAAAAATCGTTTTCTTCTATAGAGCAACTACATGTATATCTCCCTGCAATCAAAAAAAAAGAAGAAAGAGAACGAAGTTAACTCAGATAAATCTCTCTTACTTGAAATTAAGCCAATATTTAAAAAAAAGAAAATTACGTCGTAAATCTCCTGTTCCACATTTGGAATAAGTAAAACAAAAACACTATAGAAGAAGAAAGAATTCGAAAATTTCAATGATTCTCATGGACAAAGAAGTAACAAAGGTCTACAGTCAAGACGATGAAATGAATTAATCCATCAAAAAAAGAAGAGAAAGAAAGATGTGAATACAAACATATACAAGTATACATACATCGGAAGAATACGAATGTACCGTAATAGAGTCTTTAACAATCACAATTACTGTACTGGAGTAAATGTCTTTTTGATCACTAAATTTTTCAAGATACATTATTTCATCACGTCTTCTCTGTAGAATGCTTCTGAACAGCATACTACTCCACACTCACATATTGAATCAATTCTTAAGACTTGATATAAATTTTCCGAAACAAACTTATTTCTACTAATGTATTCGTCAAAATCAATTACGAACTAATCGGATCTAAAAAGGTCTGCAAATATCAATCATAACAGTTCTCATCACGTTGTTCTATCATCTAACAACACTTAAATTACACCAGCAATTTGATTATAGATATTTTTCGTTCTAAGCAGTGCCTCTCATTGCATGATTTTTGGACATGAAAGCAATTGCATTGATTAGTTTTATTAATACAATCTGCTATCTGCTTTGTTATCTTCAATTTCTCGCGGTGTAACCATCTTGTTCATTGAACAATTTTATTTAACATATATGACGTTGGTGATAAAACACGTATTCAGTTATAAAGCAAAAGAAGTCTGCAAAGAAATTAGCAGAGCTGGTGATCATAAATCAATATAAATGAATATCAAACTATTGTTTATTTGATTACTATTCTGTTGCAT